TTGGCTGACTCATCAATACCTTTTGAAGGGTGATGACTAGTCAGTATGTCAATATTACAACTGTTCTGTAAATGTTAAACACATACTGTGCAATTGCTCTGCCTTCAAGAGGATTCATAGACAGCATTTCAGAAATGCAAGTTTGACAGAGATTCTGGGTCATAGGCCTAATCTTGATAAGTTACTGAATTTTATAAATATTTGTGACTTTCAGAAACATATTATTTATTTAGTTTTTACTTTTATATACAGTAGACCCCCCTATAATACGGTAGATACGTTCCGTTTTATATGAATTTGTGTTTTACGATCACTTAAATACATGATCCAATCACAGCCCAGCATGTGTGCAGTTTAGGGACTACAGCTGTTTGAAAGGTTTTCTTCCATAAAATTAATCGATTCTATACTAATTTGACTCAATATTTCCAAAACACACATAATTTTTTGGGAATAATTCATATAAACTATGCTATAGAAAAAAAATTGTAGAATTACCGAGTGTGCACCATTCGACACCATTGCATAAGCTTGTTTTCGTCGCAGACTGGTGCATCAAATGGTGTGTGCATGTTTTCTGATCAGCGAATTTTTTGCAGAAAAATAACTTAACTTTGGAGACGTCATTAATATAAATATAATTTTTATGGCCATTAAATAATAAATGGTTTTTTGTAGGTCCGCTGCTCGTTTAAAGTCAAAGGTTTGTGGAATGTCCGCTATTGGTCTAGATTCGACCAATTCTGTCGCAACACAAGTTGACGATGACATTTCACTGTATTATATGAGTTTCTTTTAGTGTATTTATACGAATACGATTGCAATTTTTTCGCCATTATATACAAATCCATATTATATGAACCCATTTTATAGGGGTCTACTGTACCCTGTTGTTTGTTTATTTGTACTGTTTTATATGTTTGTTGTTGTTAATTTATTTTATTTATTAAAAATTTTCACTGTTTGATATGGCACAGCTTAGCTCTAACTATATGGCTCGTGCCAAAAAACGCNGTTTTATATGAATTCATGTTTTATGATCACTTAAATACATGATCCAATCACAGCCTAGCATGTGTGCAGTTTAGGGACTACGGCTGTTTGAAAGGTTTTCTTCCATAAAATTAATTGATTCTAGACTAATTTGACTCAACATTTCCAAAACACCTATAATTTTTTGGGAATAATTCATATAAACTATGCTATAGAAAAAAAATTGTAGAATTACTTACCGAGTGTGCACTGTTCGATGCCATTGCTTAAGCTTGTTTTCGTCGCGGACTGGTGCATCAAACGGTGGGTGCGTGTTTTCTGATCAGCGAATTTTTTGCAGAAAAATAACTTAACTTTGGAGACATCGTTAATATAAATATAATTTTTTGGCTGTTAAATAATAAATTGTTTTTAGTAGTTTAAAGTCAACGATTTGTGGAATATCTGCTATTGGTCTAGATTCGACCAATCCTGTCGCGACACAAGTTGACGATGATGTTTTACCATATTATATGAGTTTCTTTTAGCATATTTATACGAATACAATTGCAATTTTTTCGCCATTATATACGAATCCGTATTATATGAACCTGCTTTACAGGGGGTCTACTGTACCCTGTTGTTTGTTTATTTGTACTGTTTTATATGTAATACTATAATATCAACTGCACATCGGGTTGTATATAATACAATAAATCTGACTTACGGAACCTGTAACCGATGCATATCACTTTTTCTTTCAACAATCAAACGTTTTCATAACCGCTTCTGGGTTCTTCATCAGGATAACAGCTGGATCAAATAGCAATTTCAAGAAGTTTGAATGAATCCGAACTTGAATCGTTCCATTCGCTTAATCCATCACGAGATATGATTGAAATTGTTCTATTTCGACGGTCGATGTTCAAATTTAAGAGAACGATCCTCCATGGCGTGGCAAAACCTACTCCATAAAGAGTGATAACGAAATTATATTAAGCCTTAAAAATAAATTATATTAGGGAACACGAGAATATTAAATAACCTTTATATCTCAATAACATGTTTTGGATTGTTCTCTTAAATTTGAACATCGACCGTCGAAATAGAACAATTTCAATCATATCTCGTGACAGATTAAGCGAATGGAACGATTCAAGTTTGGATTCATTCAAACTTCTTGAAATCGCTATTCGATCCAGCTGTTATCCTGATGAAGAACCCAGAAGGGGTTATGAAAACGTTTGATTGTTGAAAGAAAAAGTGATACGCATCGGTTACAGGTTCCGTAAGTCAGATTTATTGTATTGTATACANAAAAATCAGTCATTATCTGAATTACTCTCACTCAGTTTATCATCCTGGTATTCTTGGTTCTTTTGGAGTTCCAAGCATAGGCAAGCTATTTTGTTCTATCGATGGTTCAGGGCTGATGGTGCCTTTTGGGACAGAGATCCTTCGAGGCCTGTGAGATTCAAAGTGAATGCTTGATGAGGTCTGCAGGGATCAAATTCCATGACTTCTTTGCATTTGGAAGGATGTTTGTTTCTGGTGGGAGTGTAAGATTTCTTGTGTTGCGGCATTCACTCCCATCATGTACTTACTGTAAGTCACACTATCCATCATCATTCATTCAACACTGCTCAGAATAGTGACTCTTGAAAGGTCTGCTCCAGCAAACATATGCACTTTGTGAGCTAGAACTACTCTAAAATCATGATTGTGTTAGTCTTCACCGTTGTGGAAGCCACAATATCTGGAAAGTTGTCGTCAAAATTCTAATTGATATTTGTGTTGTTGTTGCTAGGTCATGCGAGCGATTGGATTTGGAATGGAGGAGGTCTGAGAGACACGAGTAAATCATTTGGATGCCAATTTAACAACTTTATTTGAAAAGAAAAATTAATTACATATTATATACTACATACTATGTCAAAATAACTGACCTATACACCATAGGTGTCACGAAAGAGAGAAAGAGTTTACATGATATTGCACATATATGTAAATACCTAAAATTGGTTGCTCTGCTAGTAGATGTGGTAACTTCCCTGTCCTGGGAGTAGAAGTGAACTCTAGAATTGTCCCAAGTTATGGCGGACAAAGTTTGTCCTATTTGGACACAGTTAAGTATACCATTTCGGCAAAGATGTTAACCCAAATACGTCTGTTTAGCAAGAAAGTTAATCCAATTAGGAGTCACAGCACAAACATGATGGGTTAAGGAGCTGGAGGAACTTATGGCAACTGCCTCAACAGGCTGTAAATTGTTATACAGGTATACCTCGCCTTACGTCGTTAATTGGTTCCAGGAAAAGACATAAGTCGAAAAACGACGTAAGTCGAATTTACGTCTCCGAATCTACTTGTCACTAGGCTAAACCATTAATTATTATTCCCTGTTCTGTATTTTATTTATTAATGCATTTTTAATAATATATGGTTAATAAAAATCTATTTTAAGCTTACAAACAAATAAATTTTAGTTTTTAATATAGTACAGAAAAAAGTATTCTAAATTTACGAATGCGTGTACTGTAAATACAGAACATACTCGTATATATTTTAATATGATTTTATGTGCTTTAAACGTTTTTCTAGTGATATTACGACTTCAATATTTGTGGCGGGCGGACGTAAAGTCGAATAAAATGACTTAAACTTGATTTTTANACTTTTTGGCAAAACAGTTATGAACACATCTTTGTTTTAAGACAACACAACTGTTTGAAATGTCTGAAGTGCCCCCTATGCTTTGGCGATGACTATGTCAGGACAGAAGACAGCAACAGCAACTAGGGCTGTATTTGTGTTGTTGTTGCTAGGTTATGCGAGCGATTGGATTTGGGTTGGAGGAGGTCTGAGAGACACAAGGAAATCATTCGGATGCCAATTTAACAACTTTATTTGAAAAGAAAAATGAATTACATGTTATATACTTCATACTATGTCAAAATAACTGACCTATACACCATAGGTGTCACGAAAGAGAGAGTTTACATGATATTGCACATATACGTAAATACCTAAAATTGGTTGCTCCACTAGTAGATGTGGTAACCTCCCTGTCCTGGGAGTAGAGGTGAATTCTAGAATTGTCCCAAGTTATGGCGACAAAGTTTGTCCTATTTGGACACAGTTAAGTATACCATTTCGGCAAAGATGTTAACCCAAATATGTCTGTTTGGCAAGAAAGTTAATCCAATTAGGAGTCACAGCGCAAACATGATGGGTTAAGGAGCTGGTGGAACTGATGGCGACTGCCTCAACAGGCTGTAAATTGTTATATTAAAGTCTGTACCATATGGCCAAGAGGTCAAAAGGTCACTTTCAGCATTGAGAACATTAAAACAAAACGTTCTTAAGTGAAAGTCGACAATTATCAAACAACTATTTTTGGTCTAAGTCTGGGTTCCCAGACAATTTTAAATTCATAAATAAATCTTAAAACTAGCAATAAAAATGATATTGGAAAAACTAACTTTTGTTTCTAAACTAAAATTGTACAACAAAAAGTATAACAGAACTTAAGACTGATTATAACTTCATTGGCTATGCACATGATTGATAGATGTAATAAAATAAACACCATAGATAAATTCTCCAGCATGAAGAGTTTGTGTATGGTGTTCATTTTATTACAAGTTATTTATTCCAACTATAAAAATATAATGCTTTTTCCAAAAATTTTTGAAGATGGAACGTGTTAAATTTTTTAAATAAAAAAATTCTTTGGATCTATTTCATTCTTTTTTAGTGTGGTATTCAAAATTTTAAAAATTAAATTTGTTACTTTTTTATGAAATTTTAAAGTTGTCTATTTTGTATTTTAAAGCTTTTAAAAATCAAAATCACGAAATAAAAACTTTTCCAAGTGTAATTTTATTCGTAGGTTGTCTCTTCACATGGAAGATATAAAGTAAAAATGGTTGTAAAGATGAATTATTAAAAGTTTTTATTGAAATCTAATATTTATCACTTTAAAGAACTGAAATGAAATTTATTAATAATAATAATAATGTTTTTAGATAATTTGCATAACCAAACCATTTTACCCATAATATGGAAGCATTATGTGGAAAAGTACAGCAAGGACCACGTTCAAAGTTATGTACGATGTGCGTATCAGGATGCGCTACTCTGCTTATCCTGGGAAAGATTTGTTCCGGAATTAGAAGATTTGCATAGAATAAATGAAGTAATTTTTTCTTATATTATGCTATTTTGATGACAAAGGTTTTTTAGTTATTGCCTACGTATTGGAATTCATTTATTTGTGACAAATTATTACAATAATAATAGCTTTGTCTTATTAAAAACATTGCCATCAATGAGAAAATGCTAATAATTGTTTCAAATTATTTTAAATTACTTATTTTTTAGATACAATTAAATTTTAAAACATTGGAAAAAAATTGAGTAAATTTTTTCATAAACTTTTCTATTGAGAAAATGATTGACATCTTTTAAATCTGTTCCAATTTAAAGCTATTTTTTTCAGTGAATGAAGAACTATATGGCAATTCATTTAATTTCATTTGAATTTGATGATGATGCATTGTTTTAAGAAACCAGTATCAATTCAGCAACTAATTCAAGGAAATAAAGTATTTATTTCCTTGAATTAGTGCTTGAGTACTTGGGTATCTGCTTGAATCAAAATCCCCAGAGCTTAATTTTTAATATTGATTACAGTAATATAGTTGAAAGATAAACTAGTCAGTTTTTGTTTTTGACTAAAAGCTCCTTTTGTAATTTAGGTGGTCTGAAGTAACTCTTTATTACTACTACAGTTTAACAATAAAAAATACAAAGTAATGATTAGTTAGGCTATTGAAAAAAATCAGTCATTATCTGAATTACTCTCACTCAGTTTATCATCCTGGTATTCTTGGTTCTTTTGGAGTTCCAAGCATAGGCAAGCTATTTTGTTCTATCGATGGTTCAGGGCTGATGGTGCCTTTTGGGACAGAGATCCTTCGAGGCCTGTGAGATTCAAAGTGAATGCTTGATGAGGTCTGCAGGGATCAAATTCCATGACTTCTTTGCATTTGGAAGGATGTTTGTTTCTGGTGGGAGTGTAAGATTTCTTGTGTTGCGGCATTCACTCCCATCATGTACTTACTGTAAGTCACACTATCCATCATCATTCATTCAACACTGCTCAGAATAGTGACTCTTGAAAGGTCTGCTCCAGCAAACATATGCACTTTGTGATCTAGAACTACTCTAAAATCTTGATTGTGTTAGTCTTCACTGTTGTGGAAGCCACAATATCTGGAAAGTTGTCGTCAAAATTCTAATTGACTCCAGGCTTTATGCAGCCACTTGATAGGTTCTGATTCGTCTAACTATTTTTGAGGAGTTCAATTTTGACTCCCTTGATATTTGTCAGTTCTTTATCTTCACAAACAACTTTGAAGACAATGCAATTTGACATCTTCCTTCCAGTGGCCTTTGCACACAAGATGGCAAGGAGGAAATTTTTTGTGGCCCATCATTTGAATTGGTACAAAACAGGAGATGACTTGCTAAAGCATTGTCATTACAGACATGTTCATTAAACAGACAGTTTCATCCATCACTCCAAGGATGTGACTGGTTCATATTTCTTTTTTTAATCAGAGATTACACTTTTCAAACTTCTCCACAGTCAAATTGCAAACAATTTCATCATTGAATATTTTTATAGCTTTCCTTATTACCATTTTTCTTGGAATGGAAAACCATTCACTATATGTCTCATCTATCTGGTTTTCTATTTAATAATCCATTTCTTTATTTACAGGTGGAAGAAATTCCACCTCCTTGGAGTTGCCAGATTTAAAAATGCATGCTCAAAGCACCTCTTTGTAAATAACATCATTCTTGAATTTTTTTGGAATTGAATTTAAATTTTCTAGCAGCTGCCTATATTATTATTTTTTTGCAAAATCCACAGCTTCCAGTTTAAAACTGATTTTGAAAATAATTAATTTTTCACATCAGATTGTTATTATCAGATAAAACAATTACACCTATGCTAAATTCAAGTGCATTCACACCTGTGTGCAAGAATTTCTCTTCTCACCATCAAAATTAGAAATAATAAAAAGAAAAAGGATTGCATTTATATAAACCCTTCCATCCTATATCTTAGGTCTATGTCCTTACGTATTACCAGAAGAATTCAAACATCAGGATTTAACTTTCAAAAAAACCACAGCTACCCTTATGCAGAATACTGTGTAATGATGGACAAATTAACTATATTAGAAAAATCAGGTGTATATATAATTTTCTTATATCACTTTTTCATCATTGTTTTGGTGTTNCCAGAAGGGGTTATGAAAACGTTTGATTGTTGAAAGAAAAAGTGATACGCATCGGTTACAGGTTCCGTAAGTCAGATTTATTGTTTTATATGTTTGTCGTTGTTATTTTATTTTATTTATTAAAAATTTTCACTGCTTGATATGGCACAGCTTAGCCTATATGGCTCATGCCAAAAAACGCAAACCAACCAACCATAGGTTTGGTGCCATATTTGCAGTCCAAATTAAATGAACAAGCTTTGGGCCCAGAAGTGGTCAGGATTTTGATTTTTCCAGTTTTCTAGACATGGCATAAATATATACTTAACATTCTGCTGTTTATTTTGTATTTTAAGAATGAAATTTTATTTTACAGATACAAATTAATACACTTTTAAAGCAAAGTCTATTTGATCATTGTAAAATATAGAAAACCATGTATAGTGTAATATTTGGGATGAAAATTAAATGAAGGAAAGTAAAGAACTTAGTGGAACTGGTGTTTTACAACATGTATTTTACAGAAATCAAAACAAAGTTGCTGTGCAGTAAACTAAAGGTGTGTAACAGTCTGCCAAATTCAAAACTAGCCTGTTTTTCTGCAATTCCAGATTTCTGGAAGCTTGATAATTGGTTTGTTACAATATAAGATTCCAGTAAGTCTAAGACATGCTTCTATTTTGACAAGTAAAAATGGATAAAATAATGCATCTTATAATTGAGGAAATTGTTATTCCTTAAAAGTGCAGCAAATTAAATATGTAATATAATCAACCATTAGTTTGAAATTGTTTAAAACTAATGTTCTGTTTCTCAGACAACAATATTTTGAGTTTTATAAAATAATGAATAACGTTGGAAACTTTTTGGCAAAACAGTTATGAACACATCTTTGTTTTAAGACAACACAACTGTCTGAAATGTCTGAAGTGCCCCCTATGCTTTGGCGATGACTACGTCAGGACAGAAGACAGCAACAGCAACTAGGGCTGTATTTGTGTTGTTGTTGCTAGGTCATGCGAGCGATTGGATTTGGGTTGGAGGAGGTCTGAGAGACACAAGGAAATCATTCGGATGCCAATTTAACAACTTTATTTGAAAAGAAAAATGAATTACATGTTATATACTTCATACTATGTCAAAATAACTGACCTATACACCATAGGTGTCACGAAAGAGAGAGTTTACATGATATTGCACATATACGTAAATACCTAAAATTGGTTGCTCCACTAGTAGATGTGGTAACCTCCCTGTCCTGGGAGTAGAGGTGAATTCTAGAATTGTCCCAAGTTATGGCGACAAAGTTTGTCCTATTTGGACACAGTTAAGTATACCATTTCGGCAAAGATGTTAACCCAAATATGTCTGTTTGGCAAGAAAGTTAATCCAATTAGGAGTCACAGCGCAAACATGATGGGTTAAGGAGCTGGTGGAACTGATGGCGACTGCCTCAACAGGCTGTAAATTGTTATATTAAAGTCTGTACCATATGGCCAAGAGGTCAAAAGGTCACTTTCAGCATTGAGAACATTAAAACAAAACGTTCTTAAGTGAAAGTCGACAATTATCAAACAACTATTTTTGGTCTAAGTCTGGGTTCCCAGACAATTTTAAATTCATAAATAAATCTTAAAACTAGCAATAAAAATGATATTGGAAAAACTAACTTTTGTTTCTAAACTAAAATTGTACAACAAAAAGTATAACAGAACTTAAGACTGATTATAACTTCATTGGCTATGCACATGATTGATAGATGTAATAAAATAAACACCATAGATAAATTCTCCAGCATGAAGAGTTTGTGTATGGTGTTCATTTTATTACAAGTTATTTATTCCAACTATAAAAATATAATGCTTTTTCCAAAAATTTTTGAAGATGGAACGTGTTAAATTTTTTAAATAAAAAAATTCTTTGGATCTATTTCATTCTTTTTTAGTGTGGTATTCAAAATTTTAAAAATTAAATTTGTTACTTTTTTATGAAATTTTAAAGTTGTCTATTTTGTATTTTAAAGCTTTTAAAAATCAAAATCACGAAATAAAAACTTTTCCAAGTGTAATTTTATTCGTAGGTTGTCTCTTCACATGGAAGATATAAAGTAAAAATGGTTGTAAAGATGAATTATTAAAAGTTTTTATTGAAATCTAATATTTATCACTTTAAAGAACTGAAATGAAATTTATTAATAATAATAATAATGTTTTTAGATAATTTGCATAACCAAACCATTTTACCCATAATATGGAAGCATTATGTGGAAAAGTACAGCAAGGACCACGTTCAAAGTTATGTACGATGTGCGTATCAGGATGCGCTACTCTGCTTATCCTGGGAAAGATTTGTTCCGGAATTAGAAGATTTGCATAGAATAAATGAAGTAATTTTTTCTTATATTATGCTATTTTGATGACAAAGGTTTTTTAGTTATTGCCTACGTATTGGAATTCATTTATTTGTGACAAATTATTACAATAATAATAGCTTTGTCTTATTAAAAACATTGCCATCAATGAGAAAATGCTAATAATTGTTTCAAATTATTTTAAATTACTTATTTTTTAGATACAATTAAATTTTAAAACATTGGAAAAAAATTGAGTAAATTTTTTCATAAACTTTTCTATTGAGAAAATGATTGACATCTTTTAAATCTGTTCCAATTTAAAGCTATTTTTTTCAGTGAATGAAGAACTATATGGCAATTCATTTAATTTCATTTGAATTTGATGATGATGCATTGTTTTAAGAAACCAGTATCAATTCAGCAACTAATTCAAGGAAATAAAGTATTTATTTCCTTGAATTAGTGCTTGAGTACTTGGGTATCTGCTTGAATCAAAATCCCCAGAGCTTAATTTTTAATATTGATTACAGTAATATAGTTGAAAGATAAACTAGTCAGTTTTTGTTTTTGACTAAAAGCTCCTTTTGTAATTTAGGTGGTCTGAAGTAACTCTTTATTACTACTACAGTTTAACAATAAAAAATACAAAGTAATGATTAGTTAGGCTATTGAAAAAAATCAGTCATTATCTGAATTACTCTCACTCAGTTTATCATCCTGGTATTCTTGGTTCTTTTGGAGTTCCAAGCATAGGCAAGCTATTTTGTTCTATCGATGGTTCAGGGCTGATGGTGCCTTTTGGGACAGAGATCCTTCGAGGCCTGTGAGATTCAAAGTGAATGCTTGATGAGGTCTGCAGGGATCAAATTCCATGACTTCTTTGCATTTGGAAGGATGTTTGTTTCTGGTGGGAGTGTAAGATTTCTTGTGTTGCGGCATTCACTCCCATCATGTACTTACTGTAAGTCACACTATCCATCATCATTCATTCAACACTGCTCAGAATAGTGACTCTTGAAAGGTCTGCTCCAGCAAACATATGCACTTTGTGATCTAGAACTACTCTAAAATCTTGATTGTGTTAGTCTTCACTGTTGTGGAAGCCACAATATCTGGAAAGTTGTCGTCAAAATTCTAATTGACTCCAGGCTTTATGCAGCCACTTGATAGGTTCTGATTCGTCTAACTATTTTTGAGGAGTTCAATTTTGACTCCCTTGATATTTGTCAGTTCTTTATCTTCACAAACAACTTTGAAGACAATGCAATTTGACATCTTCCTTCCAGTGGCCTTTGCACACAAGATGGCAAGGAGGAAATTTTTTGTGGCCCATCATTTGAATTGGTACAAAACAGGAGATGACTTGCTAAAGCATTGTCATTACAGACATGTTCATTAAACAGACAGTTTCATCCATCACTCCAAGGATGTGACTGGTTCATATTTCTTTTTTTAATCAGAGATTACACTTTTCAAACTTCTCCACAGTCAAATTGCAAACAATTTCATCATTGAATATTTTTATAGCTTTCCTTATTACCATTTTTCTTGGAATGGAAAACCATTCACTATATGTCTCATCTATCTGGTTTTCTATTTAATAATCCATTTCTTTATTTACAGGTGGAAGAAATTCCACCTCCTTGGAGTTGCCAGATTTAAAAATGCATGCTCAAAGCACCTCTTTGTAAATAACATCATTCTTGAATTGAATTTAAATTTTCTAGCAGCTGCCTATATTATTATTTTTTGCAAAATCCACAGCTTCCAGTTTAAAACTGATTTTGAAAATAATTAATTTTTCACATCGGATTGTTATTATCAGATAAAACAATTACACCTATGCTAAATTCAAGTGCATTCACACCTGTGTGCAAGAATTTCTCTTCTCACCATCAAAATTAGAAATAATAAAAGGAAAAAGGATTGCATTTATATAAACCCTTCCATCCTATATCTTGGGTCTGTGTCCTTACGTATTACCAGAAGAATTCAAACATCAGGATTTAACTTTCAAAAAAACCACAGCTACCCTTATGCAGAATACTGTGTAATGATGGACAAATTAACTATATTAGAAAAATCAGGTGTATATATAATTTTCTTATATCACTTTTTCATCATTGTTTTGGTGTTATAATTCAGGACCACAAGTAGAAAACTGCAAAGCCGAATATTAGAACATCAAGATGACATTTGTAAAAATAAAATTTCCATAGAACTATCTGGAAGGGTTCTCAATCATTACTTTACACGACTGTAGAATGAATCTTCCATCCTCTCAGTTGGACTGCAACTGTTTATTCGTTTAGGAAACATTATTAATTGAGAAATTGGAGCAATGTAATAGGCTCACTCTAGAGTTCCCAAAAATATGGATTTCACTATTTAATAATTTAAAAAATTATAAATCACAGCTGCCAATAATTTTCAATTATAGTTTATCTGTTAAACTTAAATGTGTAAGTTTAATAGTACACCATTTAACACCCATTTAACACCTGCATTCCAATTAGTACTAATTAATGTTAAATATTTCAAAATAACACATGCACTCCAATTAGAACATATTAACATTAATGTTAAAATTTTGAACTTCCAATTAGAAGTTCAGACTATTTACAAAAAAATTAATTTTTGAGTCTATCTATTAATCCATTAACACAACCACAGAAGTACCCATAACATTGGTTTGAAGAATGAGAACCATGAAATTGTATCTATATGCAAATAAAAGGATAACTTGTATCAACCACCAGAGGGCTTGAACCTGATAAAAATTGGATAACTACTTATGGATGGTATGGTGAGAAGACTTGCTTGTTGTTTTTAATGTAAAAGACTTGTTGTTTTTAATTTGTGAGTTTTTACCTATTTATTATTTGTTTTTATTGAAGTTTTTCTTCAAACCAATGTTACAGGTACTTCTGTGGTTGTGTTAATGGATTAATAGATAGACTCAAAATTAAATTTTTTTGTAAATAGTCTGAACTTCTAATTGGAAGAAAAATATATATCCTGAGTTCACCATGAAATTGTATCTACATTCTATACATGTCAAAAGTGCTTGCAAGATATTTTGTATTTATTTTGTGTTTTACTCATCAAAACATTATCAATGCCAATAGATAGTGCCTTTAAACTTTCATAGCTATAAAATCAGTTTTAACAGATAAAAGATTTTGTCTTTGTGACTAGAAGTAGGGGTATTTAACANCATATTCAAAAAAACCACAGCTACCCTTATGCAGAATACTGTGTAATGATGGACAAATTAACTACATTAGAAAAATCAGATGTATATATAATTCTTGTGAACCGAGGGGTAGAGCGGTGCGTGTCTCCCCACTTACTGGCTTCGTTGTCAGGGATGGCTTTGGTAAATGAGTGGGAGGGGTAGTGGAATCATGACAAGGTGTCCAGATAACTACACGGGTTGAACAATACTAACATTAAACAAATAAGAGATTATACATATTAAAGACAATAAATATAACACATGCGTAATAAAAATAAAAATCTATCCTATATTCTAACCTAACCTAACGCTAAAGATCGAGAGAGAGACCTCTCTAAGAGGGATGCGTTGGAGAGAGAGACAAAGTTCTGGCAAGGGTTTACCTCGTAGTATGCGATCTTTTTGTATAGGGCATTGGTAGGACGCACCGGGATTGGTCACTGAAGTTCCAATCAGAGTTCCTCAGCTGTCCGGAGGGGTTGCTTCGGCGTTAGCTCCTCCGCTAACCGTGTGGAGGAGCAAATTCGTCCCCTTTTTATACTAACTTCTCATGGGAAAAATCTGGGATTTCGTTGACGTAATTTGACATCTCTCCAGGTTTATTATCGTCTCTCCTGCCGTAGAAAAGATTCATTGCCTTTTTTGGTCATTTCTCATTGGGTCGCTCAGACTTATGGGGGATCACAGGATTTCGTTTTACTCTTGCCGATGACCTTCTGGGTTAACATCACACGTTTGCTGCAGCCAATTGGATATTTATCCAAATGACGCAGTCACATAACCGTGTGATTCCCTGGCGAGAGGGGGGGTTCCTCTTCAGACGTCCCAAGTCACCTTTGAAAGCATCCGAATTCTCAATTCTCTTATATCACTTTTTCATCATTGTTTTGGTGTTGTAGTTCAGGACCACAAGTAGAAAACTGCAAAGCCGAATATTAGAACATCAAGATGACATTTGTAAAAATAAAATTTCCACAGAACTATCTGTAAGGGTTCTCAATCATTACTTTACACGACTGTAGAATGAATCTTCCATCCTCTCAGTTGGACTGCAACTGTTTATTCATCTAGGAAACATTATTAATTGAGAAATTGGAGCCATGTAATAGGCTCACTCTAGAGCAGTGTTCCGCAACCGGTGTGCCGTCACATGGTGAAAGGTGTGACGTGAACTTTTACATATTCTGTTAATTTCAAGTTTTATTTATATATTTTTATCACAGTTGTTGTGTTTCTTATGCTTGTATTTCATTTTCTGCTGCAGCACTGATGAAATAAGATGATGTTTGTTTATTTTTACAAGCCACGCATTTTTATGCATTCTAAGAAATTATATGTAAAATTAATTTGCTCACAGGTAGGTGTTGATGTCTGTTTAATAACAATAATAATAGGTTAGTGGCATTACGTAATTCTATTAATAGTAGAATATACGTTTTTGAGGGGAATAACATTTTGGTGTGCCGTGGGTGAGTCATGGGTGTGCCGCAAGTAGAAAAAGGTTGCGGAACACTGCTCTAGAGTTCTCAAAAATATGGGTTTCACTATTTAATAATTTAAAAAATTATATATCACAGCTGCCAATAATTTTCAATTATAGTTTGTCTGTTAATTAAATGTGTAAGTTTAATAGTACACTATTTAAGTTTAACACCTGCATTCCAATTAGTACAAATTAATGTTAAATATTTCAAAATAACACGTGCTCTCCAATTAGAACATATTAACATTAATGTTAAAATTTATATCTTCCAATTAGAAGTTCAGACTATTTACAAAAAAATTAATTTTTGAGTCATGTATTAATAATCCATTAACACAACCACAGAAGTACCCATAACATTGGTTTGAAGAATGAGAACCATGAAATTTTATCTATATGCAAATAAAAGGATAACTCGTATCAACCACCAGAGGGCTTGAACCTGATAAAAATTGGATAACTACTTAATGGTATGGTGAGAAGACTTACTTGTTGTTTTTAATGTAAAAGACATCAGAACCTCAAATAAAAGGCTGACGTTTTGATCATTTTTAATTTGTGAGTTTTTACCTATTTATTATTTGTTTTATTGAAGTTTTTCTTCAAACCAATGTTACGGGTACTTCTGTGGTTGTGTTAATGGATTAATAGATACTCAAAAATAAATTTTTTTGTAAATAGTCTGAACTTCTAATTGGAAGAAAAATATATCTTGAGTTCACCATGAAATTGTATCTACATTCTATACATGTTGAAAGTGCTTGCAAGATATTTTGTATTTATTTTGTGTTTTACTCATCAAAACATTATCAATGCCAATAGACGGTGCCTTTAAACTTTCATAGCTATAAAACAGTTTTAACAGATAAAAGTTTTTGTCTTTGTGACNAAAGTGCTTGCAAGATATTTTGTATTTATTTTGTGTTTTACTCATCAAAACATTATCAATGCCAATAGACGGTGCCTTTAAACTTTCATAGCTATAAAACAGTTTTAACAGATAAAAGTTTTTGTCTTTGTGACTAGAAGTAGGGGTATTTAACATTATTACTGAATGCTTAAACTACAGCAAATACAGCTGTTTTCATATGATATCATATCCTTTGTACAAGAATAATTCCATTTCAGGAAAATTCACATCATATGAATTTTTCTGAAACAAAATTTTAAAAAATGCATTCTCGTAAGTGTTATACCATACCATGGCGTGAAATGAAAAGAGTCAATGTTGCAAAATTTGAAATTTTTACATTGGCAAAGCTTTTATATAAAAATGATTTGAATAAGTGCCCTCTATTACTTCTGCACCACTTGACTGAAGGGTTGGTACCATGTTGTTGATGCCACATCAGGATGACACCGCTGTCTCTCTTCTGAAGGACACAAAAGCTACAATGGCTGTTTATGTTATCATTGTTCGCTTGAGCTGTCGTGTGTGTAGGTGGTCAAATCCAGGATGGAGGAGATCTAAGAGATGGCATGGCAGAAGAAAAGCACTCTGATACAAGTTAAAAAAAAACAAATGCCCATGTATTAAACATAGAATTTTACACTGACAATTATAGTGAATTGTTAGTTTTTAGTAGCCTTGAATGTGAGAGAGAGTTCACATTAGTTTCGTGAGTCAATAAATACCTTGTAGTGGAGGTTCTAAGGCTCTGATGCTCATTGAGTAGATTGATTCATTGACTGGATCAGTTAGAGAAAGTTCTTGTCACTATAGTCTGTCCTTGAAATGTGTAACAGTGGATGAGGATTATCCATAGGCAAAGTATCTGTTAGTAAAGTAAGAAAGATCCAAGCATGACTAAACCATTGGAGGAACGGGCAATGATTACCCAAATCAGCCATTCATAGGTATTAAAACAACAGAATATCTCGGAGGAAAGGTGTCATTCCCAATGCTGAGAGTGTGAAAGGGGAACTCAGATCATACATTAGCTACATCTTGGCAGTGTTTTCCTGTTTTAGAAGTATTTTTTGTTATTTAGTCAGGGTTTTCACAAATGCCTGAGTGCTAATTCAAGGAAATATATGGTAACTGAAAAGATAAATTGGGTAAGATAGTTTAGGACAAAGTTTTGAGAAAAGCAAGTGTGAGGCTTTTCAATGTAGATATGCTAATTCTAAAATAAAAATAAGATTTGGATGTGTAGTGATATCTTGTGCATATTTGTATTCATATATTGATCAGAAATTCAAAACGTGCCATTAATATACACTATTTCCTTGTTCAGTGCCAACATAAAATGTGGTATCTTGTCATTCTAATTATTATTGAAAATGTTTGTTTATAAATTCCTTTTTTCTCAATATATTTTATTTCAGTATAACAAAGGCTTTTTATTTATTATTTCAGCTCATAGAAAGTAAAATTTCCGACAATATTACATTTGTCAGCAAAATTTTTGTAAAAGTTTCCTGGATACAAGTAATCGAGAACTCTCTGAGAAATGTAACAGACAGCAGGGAAAATACTTATGTTTTACATGAGTTAAGTACATTAATCATGAAGCTAGCTTGGGAACCAGTAATTCAAGAAGTAAGTAATATAAATATGCAAATTATAAATGGATTTTTAAAAGTTTTAACAGCATTATATATTTAGTTATAATTTTGTCTTAAAAAATCTTTAGCAACTTTAGTAAAATTGACAATGAATATTGACACATTTCATAACTGAACTTTAATCGCATGTTTTTTCTTTGTGAAAATTAAGTATTTGCAGTAAAAAAAATCAGCAAATACTAGTAAAATAATTTATCACAGTCATTATGTAGTTATTTTGACAAAAGTGTGATGCTCAAACTATTTACAGAAAGGGAATCTACTGGATATATTAAAATTTGCTGAATCCTGTCCCTGGTATTCTTTTGACGTAGTGACATTAGCCGAAGTTGTGGATATTTTTGTGAACAAGTGCAATCCAGATTGCATTTTGAAAGGAACACAAAATAACAGTACAGATCAAATATTGTTAAAGTAAGTTTTAAACTATGTTATATTAAAAATTTATTTATCACATGTAGGGATATTACTACAGTAGTATTAATATTTTTACTTTTAGATTCTTGAGATTTATGACATGCATGGAACCCAATGAAGAACTTGTTCATCACCAAACCTTGTATCACAGACAGCTGTATGTAAGTACCTACATACGGTTAATAAAAATATGTTCGGAACAGCATCAACATCTCCTTCAAATTTCATCAGTATTGCATGATTGTTTACGTAATCTAATACAACAGATTTACCATGCTGTCAATTATAGTAAGTGATTTTTGATATAATTTATTTATAATATTGAATTTGGTTGCCATCAAATAAAATACAAACTTTAAGTGGCATCATTTATGTTCATACACAGTGCGGCAATTAAATTCCAGGACTGAAGCTATATCTCAGCAACCAGTAGCAACATCTGTTTAAATTTTATGTCATATGAAGTTTGAACAGATGTTGCTACTAACCTAAAACTTTTATTTAAATCAGTTGACATTTATCATTGTTTTTGATATTTTGTTTATTAGTTTATTTTGTTACATGTCGGCAAACAATAATGGAACAATGTGCTGTTATTAAATTTCATGCTAAACTTGGCACAAGTGCCACAGAAACGTTCAAAATGATGCAGAAAGTGTGTGGAAGTGAGTGTTTATCACAGTCAAAGACTTTTGAGTGGCACAAGCGATTTTTGGAAGGCAGACAATCACTGGAGGACGACAAATGTGTGGGAAGGCCAATAACAATTCGAGCAGCAGATTAGATTCAAAAAGTGCAAGAATTTGTATCCAACGATCGCAATGTAACACTGAGAATGATGGAACAGGCATTAAACATTAACAAAGAGACAATACGACAAAGGTCTGTGCTAAATTTGTTCCGCACACACTAATTCAAGACCAAAAATTGATGAGACTGGAACATTCCAGAGAGATTGTATGAGCAGCAAATAACAGCTCAACCTTCCTCAAATTAATTGTTACTGGTGACGAGACCTGGTGTTTTCAATATGACCCACAAACAAAATGTCCAAGTGCCGAATGGAAGTCAAAATCATCACCTCAAGCCAAGAAAAAACAAAAAGTTCCATAAAAAATCAAGACAATGTTCATTGTTTTCTTCGATAGCAAAGGCATCATCCACCGTGAGTTTGTCCCACAGGGTCAAACAGTTAATGCTGCTTTCTACTTAGGAGTTTTACAACGATTAATGGGAAGAATTCATCGAATTCAACCAGAATATCGCAATTCTGATGACTGGTGTTTGTTACATGATAATGCACCAAGTCACACATCATTGATTGTTCGTCAATTTTTGGCACAAAATCAAGTCTGTGTGTTGAATCATTCACCATATTCCCCCGATTTAGCACCATGTGACTTCTCTTTATTTCCAAAAATGAAAATGAAGTTGAAAGGATGCATTTTTAATGATATTGAAACCATCCAAAGAGAGTCTACATGCATATTAGAGGCAATACCGAAAATTAAGTTTGAGCAGGCATTTGAATCACTATTGAATCACTGTAAAAAGTGTATTGAAGCAGGAGGAGAGTATTTTGAATAATTTAATAAAAAGATTTGAATAAAATTGTTTTGTTTCATTTTTATAGATCCAGTCCTGGAATATAATTGCCGCACTGTGTATAACACAATGAATTGAATTAATACATTACATTAATAAAGGAAATAAATGATTGATGATAATAGGGTAAGTACATATATATATGCATAAATTTTGCAATATTTTTTCTAGATCTAATCACACAAGGATTACATCCAATTGTAAAATATTGCAAAATTTATGCATACATACTTACCCTATTATTATACTGATATAATACAGGATCGTGCTACTTATTGATAAATGATTTATGTTTATTTTTATCTGAAAAGATATAAAACATTATTTCTTTAGATTTTACATAAATGAAGTTTATTTTCTTCAAATGTCTACATAACATAACTGTGAATAAAAAAGCAAAATGTAATCTGACTAAAATTTGTTAATATAGTATAAGCCCTTTAGTAACTGCCTGCCTTTCATTTGGTGAGGCATTGACTCAATTAATTTGTGACACTGTTCTGTAGTTGAGTTAAGGCAGAGTTTATATCTTCTTCTTCACATTTTCAATAGAATTATGAGAAACATTAAGATCAGATGATTTTGTTAACATTTTAAGGTGGGCACAAAGATCTGGCTTGTGGAGCATGTTATTGACTATGATGTATGGCATGAAGTTAGATCTTCTACTGAGGGAATAAGATTAAAACCTACCAGATTTTGGAATACTGAATTCATGGTTGTGTGAGAAGGCGAGAGTGGATAGGATTTATTTGAAAATTTATTTGTTTTATTTATCACATTCTTAGATATACTCACTTGATTAATAATTTCAATGTAATATTTTATCAATAAAATAGACAAAAGTTGCAATTTCTCGTGGAAAAAGGAAATAGAACTTCCCTTAGAAAGTTGTTATTGCACATATCTGATGAACATCCATCTCTTGTATTGGATGTATTGCAGTGGTCCTGTCAGATAGTGTAAACCCTAAAATCCAATTGGTGGAAAGTTTGGATAAAAAGGGAAAAGCCACGAGTTCAGGGCAGTCAACAACAATAAGAAACTGCCATAATAATATGACGATGATAGTCCTGCTCTGACTCTCCAGCATCCATCTCACATTCATCAGCCATCCCAAATGTTAGAAGAGAATCTCCACACATTGACCAGACTAAATGCACTAGTCTGATAGAGGTATATTATTTTAACCCATTGTAAACTCTCTCCCTCATGTTTAGAGGTGTATGTACTGTACATACACCTCTAAACATGATTAGGCATCGATTAACAATAAGAGATAAAAATAAAAATAGGTTGTTATTTGTTAACCTGTCTGATCTTTCTGTTAGCTGAGTACAGACACTCCAACCGATACGATGGAACTTTCTCTCAACTCTCCCCACTGAACTATTAGCCCTCCTAAAACGCCATCTAATGATTCTAACAACTAGAGGGTTTCATGCCTGTCTTTGTCATCTCTATTTTTAAATACAACTGTGAGACTAACATCAGACATACTGAAGCATTCCCCTATCATAATGCTTGTGAGACGTTTTACTGGCTGTAGTAAACAACTAGGATCACCAATTTCTTCACTCTGATGCCAAACCCACAGACTGTTTCTTCTAAAAAAAATATTTTCAGATGATTCAAAATTGTGTTATACACAATTTATAGTCCTTGTATTTTTCCCAGTGTAATTTTCTTTCAATCTATGCTGCATTGTATATCTAGATGTCACAACTCCATAATCATTCCACAATTTGCTTGAAAACTGCAATTAAAATTTATTTAGTTCATTGACAGTTTTAAAATTTATTTACAGACTATCTTTACATTGCAATGTAATGATAACTTACAGAAAATGTACAATAGTACAATGCATTGTACTGTTTTACATTGTCATCCACAATAATTTCATTTACTTTCCAACTTGACTGTTCTTATGTTAATTTAACATTTTTGCTGACTGTGGTTTCAAAAATATTAAAGATCAGTCTATTTTTAGTCATGTTTCAATATCTCTCATTTCAATTACATGTAATTTATGTGAAGAATTATTGACAATATCAATCTCTTATAAATTAATCTTCTATTAACAAAGCAGAAATCAAAATAAAATTTCACCAACCTTAAGTAGGCCTTGCACATAATCTTTGAAAAGTGAGAAATTCAGTAATGTCTATTTTTAAGACTGTCTTCAGTTAGTTCTTTGCAAAATTGAATCTGTCTAGTAATTACATTTTGGAATAGAAAGTGTAGAAGAATCTCTGATGCATTCAAATGTTTTTCTCTTTAATTTTTTTCTAAATATCCAGTGATGTGTGTTTACAGTCCGTGTTGCCTTTTTCAATGATGGGCCATGTTCTTGAATTTGTTTTTCTTCTTTAAAGTTGAGGTTATGGAAGTGTGCTTTAAATTATTCTAGAACCTTTAAATTTTTGAGATTGTTTGTATGGTATGTTTTTCATATTAGGGTGACTTGTTGGAGTTTTGGTTTAATCTCATTAACACTTGCATATATAGCCAGGCATTGGTTTGCTTCTTCTTTTCTATATCAGATTTATGTTCCAGAAGGTGTTTTTTTTTTTTTTGGAGAAGTTTCTTTGTAGACCCAATGCATATGAGGTATCTATTAAATTTGTTACCCTTAAGTGGACTTATGTAGACTCCCAGTGCTCTTTCTTGTTTCAAAACAGCTTTAATGTATGGGGTTTACATGGTATGCAATTTTTGCACCAACATATGAATGCCATATGCACACTATATTATAATCTTATGATGGCTAGAGATATCTTGCTGGGGGAATGTCCCTTGTAGGAGTTTTATTCTGCTGGTCACTGAGTTGATTTCTTTGCCTATGTGCCATTTTATATACTAAGTCTGCCAGGATGCATGATTACACTAAAATTTCCACTATTAATTTTTATTGCTATCCATTTTTTTGTCTTGTTTATGGTTGCAATGTATCTGATCCCTTCTGAAAAGTGCTCTCTAATGGTTGCTATATTGCAGTTGTATGGATCATTAGTGTTGGCTGGTATGTATATCAGAATGATGCTCATTTGTGGTAGATTTTAGAGTTATATCTATTACCTTTAAAGGAGATGCTATCTATAAGTAAGAGCAAATAAATAATAAAGAAGCTAATTCAATGGTGAGACCATATGGATTGTCATTCATGCTAGTAATAAAGTCCCTGTTAAGCTTAGTTTTCCAGATACATAATCAAAATACATTGATGATGTCTTTTATCTTTTATGTATTTCGATATGGGAGAGGAATTTAGGCGTGATCTCGGCCTCTAAGAGATATAACAAAGATAATTGTGGTGCATTACACAAATGAGTAAACATATAATTTTTGTTTGAGGGTGGGTTTTTTCAAGCTCCGATGGTCCATAAAAAAAGACAAGTGTAAATAAAATGAATTTATTACCAAAAGTTAGTTAGTAACAAACATGGTTACTTTTCGATATAATCACCGTGAAGATTGAGGCATTTGTCATATCTGAACGAGCTTTGCAATCCCCTCTTCATAGAATGTTGCCACCAGTGACTTGAGATGGCCTTAACATTGTTTTGAAGATCATCATTAGTCTCTAACCTCTGCCCTCCTAGTAACGTTTTCATGAAAGAGGTGAAAGTCGCTTGGTGCTAAATTGGGGTTATATGCTGGGTGTTTAAAAAGTTTCAAGCTGG